CAAGGTGCATCCATTTCCCTATGGATGACTCAAACTTACCCTTCTTTATGGCAGCATAGTATTCCATTACATAATCAGTTTTCCTTGTCTCCTCCATCTGTTGGTGGACATATAGGCTGCCTCCAAGATTTAGCTGTGTGAGTTGTAATACAGGGATTTTGCATACACTTTCCTTGGTTATCTCCTTCTGTCCTATCAGGGAAAAGCTCTCCTTTTTGTGCCATTCTCAGATCATTCTTCCAGGGATGATTGCCCTAGTTCCCTAAACTGAGCTTCCAGGGCCCTGGAGCAGCTTGTAGACTTAATAATTTTTATCTATGTGAGGAAGCTTAAAGACTTAAAGCTTTTCAGCCAGGCATGGTGGCACACACCTGTAATCCCAGCACTCGGGAGGCAGAGGCAGGAGGATCACTGTGAGTTCAAGACCAGGCTGGGCTACACAGTGAGTTCCAGGTCAGTCTCAACTACATAGTGAGACCCTGTCTCAAAAAACTGAAAAAAAAAAGTTAAAATGTTTCTTTTCCAGTGTAGAATTAGCCCCAGGAAGGCATGGGCTGTGTCTTGACTATTGGTGTCCCGGGTCTTCCCACACATGCGCCTGCTGAATGGAAGAATACAAAGGTGAGCGAAGCAGCCTGAATACGCCGTTCATCTCGACTTGGGAAAGTGTGTTTCTCCCTCCCTGACAGTAATGAGGGGATCTCTCTGCACGGCCAGGGAGGGCGACACTTCCTGATTTCAGACGGGATCCTGCACGTCAGTGTCTGTGGCCCTACATGACACTTCCTAATTTCAAAGATTTCATTTAAAGTAGCAAAAATTGCTTAGAAAGATATCTCCAATTCATCTTGTCTTGCAAAAGGAAAAGTTGAGGCCGGAGACGTAGCTCAGTGGCACTGCGCCTGCCTGGCAAGCGCAAGGTCCTGAGTTTGATTCCCGGTACAAAAAGAAAGAAATGTTGGAGCGTGAGAGAGTGCAGCGTCCACTCTGTCTCTGCGTGTTTGACCCCTACTGTGACGATGAGCAAACACCTCCAGCCTGGCGACAGAAATTCGCACTGCAGACGCCTGAGTCTGAGGAGAAGCAGGGGCCACGGGCAGAAAACAACCAGCAGAAGAACTGCGTCTCTCTAAGAATGGAAAAGTTCACTGGAAGCGTTTGCCCAAGCTCTTCGGAAGCTAGGAAAGCAGTATTTTACTGTTTTCCCCAGCTCTAAAAGGCTCACAAATGCAAATGCGTGATAAAATGTGAAAATCAGTGTTGGCGACTAATTACCTGCTCGGGGACCTGAACTGAAACAGCACGTGTGCGTCCTCAGGGCTTCTGGATGGAGCGGAACGGACAGCCGAACCCCTCTGACATGGCTGGTATTTAAAGAATAGCAATTGGCTGATATTTGTGGCTCTGTATGTTGAATATTTTGGCTCCCGTCTTCTGGTATTCATTCTGAAAGATTTATAATCCTTTGGGGAGTGTGGTCAGTGACAAGAGGAGAGCTAAATCCTGAAATGTGGAAAAACGAACTTTTCCTATTATAAAAACTGTTCTTAAAAAAAATCCCTCTAGCCTATGAATATGTTTCCAGATTTTGAGAAAAAGCTGATTTACAGAATTCTTTTTCTATAAGGATCTAACTTCTTCACAATAAATGCCAATTGTCAGGCTTTCAATTTCAAGATTGGTGAAGACTTAGGTGTTTCTTAACAAAACAAATAAACTCTGACCTTTTGGACATCAGCTATGCTAAAATGACTTTTAAAAAGTTATGTCACTATTTACAGTGTAAATAATGAAGCTTAAAAGTAGACAGAGCCTAGAACATAAAAATGAAGGCAACTGGAAACTGGAAACAAAGGTTACGCTGATGAGTGATGTAGACAACTGCTACCAAAGGAAACTTCATGGAGCAAGAATAGCAGTCAGCAAAGTCCTCAGTCACGTAGAGCCGAGAGGTGGACACTGCACTCCTCATTGTAAGGAAGGCTGGGGAGAGGAGGCCTTGGCTCCTCTGCGGCAACATGCCTGATTCTCTGGTGCTGCCTCCCCGACCTGTGTAAAGCCGACCGCTCCACCTAACGAACTCCCTGCCCTTGGATTTTCAACCCTTCATGGACGAACATGGCTCTGTTTGTTCAGAACCCCCCAGGAGAAATTTCTGGCTCTCTTGGACCACTGAAATTCAGAGGAAAGGGAGGGAGCTGTTTGCCTTGTTTTCTTTGCTTTATCTTTTTGTATACTGTGTACTTCACTTGCTTTACTTAACCGTGGTTAGCAGGTACATCCGTCTTTCTGGTTGACAGAGTAGCTGCCTGTTTAAAAAAGAGAAACAAAGTGTTAGTATGGGGGAGTCTCGTGTTGGCAAATAAAGGAGTTAATGACCTGACAGCTAATAAAGAGAGGATTTATTATTTGTATTGTAAAGTCAACTGTATGTAAGAAAATGGTGGTGGAAACATTTCTCTTGATAGTAAGGAGAAAGACACTAAAAGTCATAAAGCATTATTTATTTCAAAAGTAAATAATAATATTAAGGCTCTAGATCTTCTCAACTTAGTGTTGAATACAGGATGGGCCTGGATTACTGTCGGGGGAGGAAGAGTATGAGAAAGGGACGTTGTTGGAGACATCACCACAGGACAGTTCCTCACAGCATTTCTGAGAAGAGGAAGGTGTGTTCTTAAAGAGAAGTGGAAGTCTAAGCTCTCCCTCTTCACTCTTTGAAGCATGCCCCCAATCATCACCTTTCGTTTTCTTATTTCCAAAGCAATAAATCGTACGGAGTTCACAAGGGAGTTTGCTTGTGAGATACCAAGGGGGAAGGGCTTTGGCGGCTTGTATATAATCTCCATGTTCTGTGCTCATCCTTTTGTGCACATTATCTCTCTATACTTTAAAATTTGAATACATAGAGATATTTGTACACATATAATGGATGCATATTTTCACATGTAGCGATTATATATTATCTGCTTTCTGTATGTGTCAGTCCATTTTCTGTTGCAGTGACAGAATATGGAGACTTGGGAGGGGTACAGAGAAAGGGATCTCTCTCTCTCTCTCTCTGTCTCTCTCTCTCCCCCGGGGGCAGGAGGTCTGGTCTCTGGATGCTGGCCTCTGCTGAGGGTCCCCTTGCTGTGTCAGAACCTGGCCAAGGGCGTCTCGGTCAGAGAGCTCTCTACACCAGGGCCCTCGGGACAGCGGCACCAGCCCATCCTCAGTCAAGGCCTCGCTGCTCCCCTCCCGGAGGCGCCCCCATCCCCCAGCACCGTCACAGTGGCGCTTAGATACCCGCGGGAGGCCCAAGTTTAGGAGGCATCGGTGGTAGAAGAGCGGTGTTAATTAGACTTAGGGTCTGTAAGGTAGAGAAGTGATTCACAAGCGTGGAAGTCTCTGCCCTTAAAACGGAGAGATGCGGGCCGCTGGAACTGTTTGAAAGAAGGAACCAAAGGCTGACTTTGAGGAACCCATTTTTCAGAAGTTGTTCATGCTGCGCCCGGCGGAAGCTCTGCAGTCCCTGTGCTGCTGTGGTGGGGGGCGTGCGCCAGGGATCGCGGCGGTGCCCTCGGCCTCGGTGGCAACTCTGCCCCTCATGCTCTGCTCTGGGGGAGGCGCGTCAAGGTGGGGCGGGCGGGCCTTGAGGATTCCTGTTTTAACTCCGGCAGGCCTAATTCACCGATCATTAGAAAAGGAAAAAGCTCTTAGATGTTGTGTTTTTCTCAGGGAGACGGCTCACCACGGCTCTGCGTGTGGCCACTGGTCAAATGGACCCTGACTGGCGCCAGTGTCTGCGTGGGGCCAGCGTGTTCCTCACCACAGCGAGGCTTCCCTTCCCTTCTTAGCTGCCCGTGCCCCTCCTCCAGGCCTCCCCACAGTCCTCCTGCCCTCCTCTGGGTTTCTCCCGTGGCTGGGCTTAGTGTCCTGTCCTCCAGGTGTCTGTTCCAGTCTGCTCCCTGGACATTGTGGAGGAGAAAGTGTTTCCGTGGTGGTCACACCACAGTGGTCAACACAGGGCCTTCTGGGACCAGAAAGGTGCGGGGATTTTTCCCGGTAGCGGCTGACACTGGCTGGGGATCTGCTGTTCCACTCTGCTCCCCACCTGGGCTGAGGTCCCCAGGCTGTGACCGCTCAGCTGCCTGGCTGTAAGCTGGGGGTCTCACAACCCCTTCTTCTCCAGGTTCGAGTATTGTGCTAGAGCAGCTCACAGGACCCAGGGAAGCACACCCGCTGGCTCACTGTAAGGGTGTCACAGAGGTGCAGATGAAGACCTGCACAGGGCAGGGCCTGGGGAGGGGCCTGAGGCTTCCTGCCCTTCTGGGGCTTCCGAAGGTTTACGGAGACTTCACGACACAGGCTGACTGATGAAATCATCGACCAGTGCTCATGAGCGTGACCTCTGCCTCCTCCCCGCTGGAGAGGAAGGGGTTGTAGGTGAGAGTCCCAACCCTTGAGTGGAATCTCGGTTCCCACCAGGAGCCCAGCACAGAGGCAGCCGCGACCGTCTCTTTAGTGCACCAAAGACACCACTTCGAAGGTACAGAAGGATTTTAGGAGTGATATGCCGGGAAACGGGGACAGAGGCCATACAGTCTGTAAGAATAATTTTCAGGACAGATTGTATTACACATCACACTATTTTAAAACCGGGCAGACCATCTGCTACCTAAACAAAAAACTTCCATTCCTGAGTCTCTCAAGGCGTGCCCTGGGCTCTCTTCAATGTACTAATACCGCTGAGCGTCACAGCTGTCTAGAGGAGGCAGACCACCTTCAAATGTTGACTCTCAATCCGAATAACACTTCATAATGCTCTGTGCATCTCTCCCCTGCTTCAGCTTGACACGATTAGTTTAACAAATTACAGCTCACTTAGCGAATTTAAAAAAATTTAGTGTGGCGTGTATGGGAGACACGTTTCCTAGCTCCTGGATCCCTAACCATCTAGTGCCTTTCTGCGGGAGCCTCATTTTCCATAACCTTTCTCTGGCGTTTCATCTTCCCAGGGAGGAAATCAGACCGCGACAGTGATTGCACTGTGTTCCATGCGCGATTTCAACCTGGCTCAAGAGACCTGTCAGCTGGCCATCAGGGATGTGGGAGGCCTCGAAGTTCTAATAAACTTACTTGATACAGACGAAGTCAAGTGTAAGGTGAGTGGCTTTCTCCAGTGCGTCCTCGTAGCTGTCTTCCAATTGTGAGGCGGTGGCCAGGCCTTGCCGTTGGTTTCTGATCTTTCCCTGTAGCTGTTAGTGTTGACCATCAGGCTGCTTGCTTTCTCTGCTGCTGCCCCTGACGAGGCCGATTACTGCAGAGACCTAAGCGGAGAGGAGAGGAAAGCTTATTCAGTCACCAAAGCATGGAGGAAAGCAGACAGCTTCTCAACCCCAGGAGATTGAGGAGTCACCGAAAAGACAGAAATAATTGAGAGGCAGAGGTTCAGGCCAATAAAGGGGTGGAATATTCTTGCATTTTCTGGGAATAGAAGGAGGTCTTTAAGGAACTCAGATATCACCTCTTCTCACTCAATTCGTGGTCTGGTGTTTCCAGTCATGGAAGCTGGTGCTGGAAAAGAGACAGACACAATATAGAGACCATGATGTCAAGTCTTTTTTTTTTTTTTTTTTTTTTTTTT